ACAGGTGCTTTTCAGCCTTAGCCCCCAAGACCACCTGCAGGAAGCAGTCAGTTTGTCTGTGTGTGAATCTGGAAGTAACCCCAATGAGAAGATATTCTCTATCATCGTCAAACAGTAACATTTTAAAAATATGTGCAAATTTTACATTCTACCCCAAATTATATTAATATTTGCTTTACCAAAACAAAAATGTTTAAAATTATACATATGACAAGGGGTGAGTGTACAAAATTTATAAAGAGCTTATACAACTCAACACCAAAAATACCTCCACACAATCCAATTTAAAAGTGGGCAAAGGATGCATAACCCATGGACACAGACAATAGGGTGGTGAAGGCCTGGAGTAGGTGAAGTGGTGGCTAGAAGGGGTCAATGAGGGAAAAAGGGGGACATTGTTGTAATACTTTCAACAATAGAGATTAAAAAAGAAAAAAATATGGGCAAAGGTCCTGAATAGTTGCTTCTCTAATGAGGACATAACAGGTGGCCAATAGATATATGAAAAAATGCTCAATGTCACTAATCATCAGAGAGATGCAAATTAAAACTACAATGAGATATCTCTTCGCACCTGTCAGAATGGCAATCATCAATAAATCAACAAATAACAAGTGTTGGTGAGGATGTGGAGAAAAGGGAAACCTGGTGCACTGTTGGTGGGAATGCAGATTGGCATTAGGGCTGAAAAGAGTCTCATACTACAAACATAATTTTATTGGTTTTGTTAAAATGAACTCCTAAGCCACTGTGAAAAGCAGTACAGAGCTCCCTCAAAAAATTAAAAATGGAAATGCCTCAGAACCCAGTGATTCTACTTCTGGGAATATATTCAAAGAAACCCGAAACACTGATTCAAAAAAATATATGCACCCCTATGCTCATCACAGCGTTACTTATAATAGCCAAGATTTGGAAGCAGCCCAAGTGCCCATCAGTAGATGAGTGAATAAAAAAGCTGTGGTACATTTACACAATGGAATACCACTTGGGTATAAAAAGGAAGAAAAAGGAAGGAAATCTTACCTTTTGTGACAGCATGGAGGGACCTGCAGAGTATTATGCTAAGGGAAATAAGACAGTCAGAGAAAGGCAAGTACCATATGATTTCACTTATATGTGAAATCTAATGAACAGAATAAAGTAACTAACAAAATAGAAACATAGATACAGAGAACAGACTGATGCTGTCAGAGTGGAGGAGTATTGGGGGGAGGGCTAGCTGAAAAAGGTGAAGGGATTAAGCAAAAAAAAAAAAAACAACCAACGTCATAGACACAGACAACAGTATAGTGATTACCAGAGGGGAAGGACGGTGGGGAGAGTAGAAGAGGGTTAAGGGGGCATAAATAGTGATAGGAGACTTGTCTTGGGAGGTGAACACACAATCTATATTATAAAAGGCCTGTGGCCCTAATGCTGTAACAACCAAAGACCAGCGTAGGTGGGCAGAGCTGTGAGCACAGCGAGGCACACGGCGGGTGGAGGGGGGAGGGCGGAGCCATGTGATTTCGTGATTTCGTGCACTGGGCTTCTACATAATAAAACCCTAATATGCAAATCGACCGAACGGCAGAACGACTGGTCTCTATGACGTGCACTGACCACCAGGGGGCAGATGCTCATTGCAGGAGCTGCCCCCTGGTGGTCAGTGCTCTCCCACAGGGGGAGCGCCACTCAGCCAGAAGCCGGCTCACAGCTGGCGAGCGCAGCAGTGGTAGGGGAGCCTCTCCCCCTCTGAGGCAGCCCTAAAGACCCTTCGGGGTATGTCCTACTGCTGGCTTAGGCCTGGCAGTTGGACATCTCCCAAGGGGTCCTGGACTGTAAGAAGGTGCAGGCCAGGCTGAGGGATGACCCCCCCCCAGTGCACAAATGTTGTGCACTGGGCCTCTAGTACACTATACAGATGATGTGGTATAGCATTGTACACCAGAAACCTGCGTAATTTTATTAACCAATGTCACTCCAAGAAATTTAACTTAAAAATAAAAAAAATAAAAGTATTTACTGTTAATTAAAATGAACTCTTAAGGAAGATGCACCATGCTTATTATAGCCTTTAAACACTCCTGGGATATTGACAAGTACCCTTCAAGCATTACCACAGTTTTAAAAACACAGGGTCCTAGATCATTGCAGCCCAGGCCATGGGATTTTTGTTAGAATTTAAGAGAATTTCTCCACATGTCCCCTTTCTACTTTGCTACATGTAAACTCTTGAAGTCCTTTTGCTTAGTTCACTAGTGAGATTGTTAAAATGTAGTTCTAAACACCTAATTGGCAGCATGTCCACAGTTCAGATGATGGAGAGACATACACTCAGCTTCCTCAAACAGAAAATCTCAGTCTGAGGTGAGAATTACCTCTCCACTTCCTCTTTAGATCTGGTTAACATTGGAAACCAAACTGAGAAGTTCTAAAACTTAATGCTTTGTTTTGAGCATTTAGAAAGTATGATCAAACAGCAAGCTGATCATGCTCAGATAGGAGTACAAGAAGTGACTTATTTATACATTCAAATTTCAAAACATTTCTGAGGCCTACCATGTGTGCTGTTAAAAGGTTTTTAATTTTAAATGATTTTTGTTAGATAATCTGTTTAAAGTGACATTATGATTTATCGCCACTAATCAAGATTCTGATCCCTCGTAGACTTCTTGTTTGTATCTGTTTTTGTTCTTTGTTACATAAATATGAGGTTTATACATAAAATTCTGACTGTGTAATATAGGGCTAATGAGTCACAGATGGAAAGATGCTGGCACATTACCATCTAATAACATTTTAAACTCATATTCCGTAGTAAAACAAAAGCAAATTGTACACATCTGTTTTCCAACTTGTAGCATTTCTGAATTTGTGTAGAGCCCATGCTTAAAGGACTTTTACTCAGGGAGAAGAAAAAAGAGGATACAGGTCACCTTGAAACTACCCAGCCACTTAATCGCCTTATCGGAAAGGATTTGGCAAAGGGATCCGACTTCCTCTGCTTTGCTTCCTGAGGAGCCCCAGCTCTAAAGAATGAGAATCGAAGGCATTAGGGCTGAAAAGAAAGTCTCATGCTACAAGCATCGTTTTATTGATTATGTTAAAAAGAAAAATATATCCCTAGTAAGAGGAAAATAAAGGAGACAATGTACCCAAACTAGTAAAATTGAAAAACTAGAAATTTTCTGGCCTTTCCTAAAAATATTCTCAAAATAGATTTGGGTGGGAAGAGGAGGAGGGAACGCAGGAAGGCAGCGCGGATCGCCGTGGTGGTGGTTTATTTTGTTTGTATGGTGAACATGTTCTGCATGAAAAAAATGGAGCAAAAGGCTCCCATATCACGTGTTGTTGCAAAAGATGTAGAACAAAGGCAGCATTTCTCTCTCAGACCCACCCAATCGATACCGCCTGTAGGGCCGCGGGAGTGCAGTTAGTGAAGTACAGGACTCTAGCGCAGTCTCCCCGTGCTCCTGGGTTAAGGAATTCAAAACCACTTTTCTGCTTCAAGGGGTTGTGCGAACTGTCAAGTTCTTTGGGAAAAGGTACGTGACAGAAGTAATTACTACAGAGTGTGACCATAACTCCCCCTGACATGAAATACCCATGTTATAAGAGACAGATTTCCATCTACCACCTCTGCAGGAATTCCTGAAACAGGAAAGACCTGAGAATCATCAGATGATTCGGGAGGGGAATTCTGATATGTGGGTGGTAAGACTGTGCTTTGTGAGGTGTACTGCATTTATTCTGAGGAATACTTCTGATCCGACTGCAAAATTCTGTTCATGGCTGTCCAAAAAGGAATTAGTGCACATATTGTATGTCCTGTGTTGTAGATTCAACAGAATATCCATAGAGGGAAATTAAAGTGTTGTTTTCATAACAGTGTCTGTAGTTATCTCCAGTTTGTACTAACATTTTGTACCTAAGATTCCAGACATGTTGAGAGTGTATCCTGCGGTGTATTGTACCTGCCACAAGGAGCAGTTACATGGGTTCTCAATCTGGCATTCCCTTTAAGGAATGGCTCACTTGGGAGCCTGTGTGTCTGATAGAGTTTATGGCAGGTCAAGCAAGGCAAGACTTAGAGCTGGGACAGGGTGATTTTTAGGTACATGCTTGTTTTGTTTGTCCACCAGTGAAATGTCTGTGTGACGTTTTGTGTCGTGTTTTGGTGCTGTGCCCTGTCCGTAGGGTCTGCCAGGCTTCCCCACAGTCGCTGCCCTGCACAGTAATCAGATCCTCACCGTCAAGGTTTGTGGTTGGCACCCATGCCCGCCGTCAGAGCCCGCAATCAGCATAAGGGTGAGCAAGAACAGCTAAACTGGCCTGCCGAGTCCTGCCGCTCCCTCTCATCAAACGTACCAGCTCCTTGGGTTCTTGGACCTCATGTGCATCAATGGGGTCAAATATATATGAAGGAGACTCTGGATCATATGAGAGAGTTAAGATATCGAAGTCGAGCAAGGACAGTGGGCAGAGGCAGGCACGACTCTGGACGGTGCCGGGCCTGGAGGGGTGCATGAGTATGCTTTGCAAAGCTCTAAGTATGTCCCAATCAACTGAGTCACCCTGAGGACTCTGGACTTCGGCATCAACAAAATGGCAGTCGCGTTCATGCCACATTATGCTGGTTGACAAGTCTGACGGAAATGAACTGGCGCTTTGTCTGCGGACTTTCTGCTCAGAGTGCAGAGTGCAGGTGGCTCGAGTTTACCTGCCCCTTTAGTATACAGCCTTAGAAAGGCCCAACCCCATGGCAAAACGATGGGATTCCAAAAAGGGTCCACCTCTAACTACAAATCTGGTCTCACCATCCTGGTTCAGGGTCACATTTCTTTCACCCAGAGCCCGAGGGTCTGATGTCAGACACAAGTGCCAGTTCTGTTTTATTTAATGGTCATTATAACTCTAATTCGTATATCTTTATTTCTTTCTTGGGGCCTTCTGATGTCTATTCTTCAACTCTCTCACCTCTGAACTTCAACCTTTGACCTCACCTGACTGATCAGATGGTGTTTCCTAAAATCAATCATGGGTTTCTCTCTGCTGATCAGCAGCTCATTAAACGCCGCTTGATTAAGGTAGTGCTTATTCTTGCTCAAGTCTGATTTCTTCTTTGCATTCAGTTATTACTCTGTATACTGTTGCTTTACCATGTATCTCCCTTGGGTGGGGGTGGGGGTGGGGGTGGAAGGGTATTTATTTGGCAATATCTTAGAACAAAATTATGTTTAGTGGGCTGCATTTGTTTGAAATGTAGATGAGAGTACCAAAATAAAAGGTATAGAGAGCCTGTCTAAATTTTTTAATTAAGAAAAAAGTCTTTTTTAAAAATTAGTTATATCCAGTAATAGACCCAGTTTCTAAGGTCTCTAGGTTTGGTAATGTATAAATTGTTATAAAGCATGACAAGAGGCTTGCATGCTTAATTTTATAGGTTATGAAAAGGTAAACATTGTCCGATTTCAAATGCAGCCACTTTATTAAGGTGGATATAGCATTGTCATGAATAAAGTTATGCAACGGCTTTATACCAGCTCTGAATCGTGGGATAAGAGACACAGCATTTCCAAGAGCTGAGAGTGCTGGTTCCTGAGCTGCTTGGTTTTAATAGCTCCACTCAGCTCCTCAGCATGAATATTTATTTGATCCCTGCTGGCAGGCAAATCGCCTACAGGCTTCATGCTTCTGCTTGCTCTGGTTCTTTCATGGTGTAAATGTGAATTAGATAATGCAAATTTAAAGCGTTGAAAAGAAGACCTAGGTCTTTATCCTCCGTGGTCATGGTTGGTCTGTCCCCCTCTCCATTGTAGGGTGACCAAGGACAAGCTGGGCCCCCAGGCCCGCCTGGCCCTCCAGGCCCAAGAGGGCCTCCTGGGGACACCGGGAAAGATGGCCCCCGAGGAATGCCAGGAGAGCCCGTGAGTACCTTTTTGGGTCCCTTGTTCTCACAGGTTTGGTTTTGCGTTAAGGGCTGAGAATTGGGATAGAGTGGGGTTGGGAGGGATTAGAAGGTCGAGTGGAGTGGGTTGATGGACGGGGGAAGCTAGGAAAGCCCCCAAGCAGGGCACTGCCAGCCAGGCTTCTGCTTTACCACTCGATCCCCGGGGAACCATGCAACCACAAGGACCTGGGGAGACAGCTAAGCCGGTGTTCAGGTAAGCCTCCGAGTCTGATTGGAGAACCTGATGTCACTCGTGTCCTGACTCCACAGAGTTCCTCAGTGCCTTTGGTTTAACAGGGAGACTAGCTTGAAACAGATGGTGGGGGATTAATAACATTTTCCAAAAACCGATAGCAGAGACAATCAAGTCCCATATGATTTATGGAGAGTAAAGAATTTAAATGTTTCTAATATTTAATCTCTTATAAATAACTTGACCGAAAGAATTGACAAAACAGTAAAATTAATGGTTAAAACATCAGTGGGTCTGGTTTGAATATTATTTGTCCTTTGTATATGAAGCTTATTAATGGAAATGATTTAAAAGTGAGCTGTTACTCCAATAATTTAATTTTAAAAAATAAAAGCGATCTCAACACTTAGATCTAAGTACTAAGTACTTAGTGTCAAGTGTCAATATATAGCAGCACAGGACACTAGATAAATGGTTCGCTTTGATAGCGACAACCCAGCAATTTAAATAAATATGTGGAAAAGGGCAAACAAATTTTACACTTATATTATGAGGTTAGAATTTGAAATTCAGGTTTATTGATGAATTAAATTGTTTACTTAATGTATTGCTTTAACTTTTTAAAAATATATGTATTTTTATTGATTTCAGAGAGGAAGGGGGAGAAAGAGAGAGAGAAAGAGAGAGAGAGAGAGAGAGAGAAACACATAAATGATGACACATCAATGAGAGTGAATCATTGTTTAGCTGCCTCTTGCTGGGGATGGAGCCCACAACTGGGCATGTGCCCTGACCAGGAATCAAACCATGATCTCTGGGTTCCTAGGCCAATACTCAACCACTAAGCCATACTAATTGAGCAAGTGTATTACTTTAACTTTAATAACTATATTCATTAGTGTTTTCATAGTACAAAAGTAATACAGAAACTATCCATAATGTAGAAAATTTTGAAAATAAAGACAACCAAAAAGAAAAAAATCATCCATGCTCATTGTTTTGGTATATTTTATTTTTGTATTAATATATTATGGATTTTTTTTGTCCTTCAAAAAACAATTCTGTTTGTAAGAATATAGGGTACTTTAAAACTTTTCTGAGACAACCTTCTGTAAGCCCACTTCCCTTTCTGAAAGCTGCTGTTAATTTGTCATATGAAATGAGGAATTAATTTGTAACATATGATTTAGGATTGCTTTAACTGAATCATCAGAGAGAGTAGCTTCATCCTAAACTATCTAATGTTTCCCCTTTTCTTGGGTTGATATCTCAAAAGATAGAAAAAGCTGTAGCTTTAGGGATATTACACTTGATCTTAGCCAAAAGGCCGAGAAGCGATTGCTTTAGGGATATTTAGAGCTCTCCAATTGATTGCTGGTTTCCAAGATACAGTGTCTTCTCAAGTAAAAAGTATGCCGAAACCGGTTTAGCTCAGTGGATAGAGCGTCGGCCTGCGGACTGAAAGGTCCCAGGTTCGATTCCGGTCAAGGGCATGTACCTGGGTTGCGGGCACATCCCCAGTGGGAGATGTGCAGGAGGCAGCTGGTCGATGTTTCTCTCTCATCGATGTTTCTAACTCTCTATCTCTCTCCCTTCCTCTCTGTAAAAAATCAATAAAATATATTTAAAAAAAAAAGAAGTATAGTTAAGACCCTTTTGATGGGACAGAATTAGTCAGATCAGTGGGTATTATATACTGTACAGAAAATTTAAAGCATAAATTATTTTCAAGAAACAAGATAAATTAATGTATGACATTTTGTAAACTATCCAAATATTATGTCAATCTTTAAGTGAATGTAGTTTATTCATCTAAGTAAGAAATGGAACTTTTAATACAAAGGTATAATTATTTTTAATTCCACAAATATAATTTGAACTGGATTTATAATCTCAGAGTTGATTTTTATATACTCTCTTAACCAGTGGAAAAAGATTTTATAAAAATAAACTGAGAACTACTTATTTTTAAAGTCCAACAACATCTATATGTACTGGCATTACAATCATGTTTTTCAAAAAACATGACTGTCATTATAATAATATAATAAAACATGATATACTATAATATAATAAAACATGTATGAATCTGAGTATTAGGAAATTATGACAGTGGTATAATATGGCAGACAATTTTATTTTAATATATGCTGTCAATTTTAATAAAGCATGTTACTTCAGCCATCATTAATCCAGGATAATTAAAATTTAAAATCAATCTCTGCTCCTTTTCTTATTTAACTCCTGCACTAAGAGCAGTTGTCTCTGTGTTGAATATGTGGGAGTTCTGAATTCTCACAAAGAGGACCACATCATCATCTTATGTCCTTATAAACAGGAAATAATAATTAATAATATATTACTGTAATTGCAATTAAATAAATGAGATATGGCTGTGATTACAATTAAATCTTTTTCTAGGACTACTTAATGACTTATGTAATCACTCCTACTAATTTTATTTAGAATATATTCTTGGCATAATCTTAATCTCTATCATAATCTAGACTCACTTTATTAAATCCTAAAATGTTTATAGAATGCATTTGAAGAAAGAATGTTACCTTTCTTTCCATTGCATTGGGTTTGCATTTCTCTATTTGGCTTGAAAAGTATATTTGACATTCATGCACCCCAGTGGGTACTGTAAAAAGGGAAAAATATATATTGAAATTGTTTTTTAATATGTATAGCACTAATAAAATTATCACTATTCTTTTTTAAGGGTGAACCAGGGAACCCAGGAAAACAAGGCTCAATGGCAAGTATTTCAATTTATCTTTTACTTTAAATTCTATATATTTTCATAAAATTTCTATAAAAAGTAATGGAAGTCTATTCAAAACTGTTGTCAATATTGTGTGTAACAAATATATCTGTCATGTAACCTATAACAAAAAGAGTGAAAATTAGTACAAGTTAAAAACTAATATGGCCTTTTGCACGGTAAGCATCACAAGACAACACATGCACAGAACTGACAGGAGAGGAAGAGGAAGGGTCCAGGTGGGAGGAATGAAAGAGACACTTAGGAAGGGCAAAGGGGAGAATTTGTTTTAAGCAGCTCTGCTATAAGGGAGATTAAATATAGGGATATAACTATAAGCTTAAATAAAGTGAGTTTTGAAAGGGATCGGGTGAGACTAAGTGTGAAGTAGTATAGGCAACATTTCATAGTGACTCAAGGAGTTCTTTGTTGAAGGGCTTCACCCAGAGAGAAGCCATTGTGTCTCTTGATCCCTGTCATTAAAAAAGATCATGAAATGATTCCACATGGACTCGCCCGTAGACACGCAGGGTCAGTTCCTCAGGATTGTTTATCCTTTGTCAGTGGGAGAAGTTTGGGCAGCTTGCTGAGCCCACCTCTCCCTGTCTCTCTCCCCTGTCCCTGGAGCCATCTTTCTGACCAGTTTTATGACATGAACTGTATGGGGGAACACAGGTTGACAATCTAACAACCCATGTTCCACAGGACAGCTGTGTCTCACTGCATTGTCCTGGATGCAGTGATCACAGTGAGCTCGATCCTGTTCATTCTGTGGAATGTGTGACATGCAGCACGCAGGTGTTCAGGGTACAAAATTTATTTGTAAAAAAATATTAGCTAAGGGCTCGTGAAACCGATGCACAGACACAGGACAGTCAGTCAAGAATTAAAACAAATGTGTGAAGGGGTTAAAGGTCAAAATCTTATCCCTGCACAGGATGCTTTCAACAGCCCTCATGGGAAGAAACTCACCAAAGTGTGGTCATTCATAGCAGTGGTGTAGCTGCCTTTGAAACATCACTGGTGAAATGAAAGCCCCCTGGGGCTGAAACTGACCCTTCACCTGGAAATTCTCTGTTCCTGACCTATGATATTAAGATCGGTATTTGATATAGATAATGTGTGTGTGGGGTGGGGAGGTGGATACTATATTGGATTCTTTTTAAAGAGAATAAAATGAAACAACAACAGAAGACCATATATAAAAATTAAACAAAACATTTGTCATCTGTGGTAACTTTGCATACAAGAGCAGCATTAGCTGTCAGGGTTACAGAGTCACAGGAGGTGAAGGATTCTTGGAAAACTACAATATAAATTTTGAAATTGCTTTAGGCAATTGAATGCACCTGTGATTTCTATCCTGGATAATGGTCAAAACATATTCCTCCCAGACCTTCTTACATTGAAGGCTCCTTGGGACTCTTGGGAGCCTTGTTTGTTCCCAGGTGTGCACATCTTACTCAGATTTTTATCATTACCTTTGGCTTTCTACCCCGATGTCCAGTGCAGTATCCTGATATACAAAGTTCTAAAAGAAAAATGGATATTCAAAAATATTACAACCTTATCCTCCTTCAAGTCGTATATTCTCTCTAGGTTATACTATGTGAATAACAATGGAATCTCATTTCCCTACAATTTCTAGCTTAATATTATTAAATATACATGTTGCACCTAAAATTATCTTAGTGTGCTGCAATTTCCCATTTCTTATAGCAACTTTTGAGATGAAGATAATCCTGGGTTTTTTTAAAAAATATTTTTAATTGATTTCAAAGAGGAAAGGAGAGGGAGAGAGAGATAGAAACATCAATGATGAGAGAATCATTGATCGGCTGCCTCTTGCACACCCCACACTAGTGGGGATCTAGTCTGCAGTCCAGGCATGTGCCCTGATTGGGAATCAAACCATGATGTCCTGGTTCATAGGTTGATGCGCAATCACTGAGCCATGCCGGATGGGCATGGGGTTTTTTTCTATGAGCTATTTTTCTGTTTTTAAACTCTTCAGATTTAGTTCATATTCTCATTTTTAAAATGAAGCTTAGAAACTTCATTAAATCACAAATGTTTAAAGGATGTGTGATGTAATGATCTTCTAAAGTGCATTGTACTGTTTTTCAAGATATAAAATTCTTTTTTTAACCAAAAACTTCTATACCAAGCATGTCAAACTCAAAGGCTAACACGGGTGAAATAAACAGGGTTTAAGTTATTAGTGAACATTGTAGTTCTTTATTAATAATTATGTATAACAGGATATTGTAAAAATTAAGTTGTGAAATTTTTATTAAAACGTTTCTTACATACCACTATATTGGCTGGGCCGCAAAAATATTCGTTGAGGGTTGCATGCATCCTGCAGGTTGCGAGTCTGACATGCTTGTTCTACACTATACGTAAGGAAAAGTAGACAAATCTGAAGTCTAGATCTCAGTGAATTTTCACAGTGAACGTAACTATACAACCAAAAATCAGGTCAAGAAATAGAATGTTATCCCCCCTTACACTCCAGTTGCCACCCCTTCTTCCCAAATTTTACCACTATTCTGCCTTCTGCCACCATAGATTAGTTTTGCCTGCATTTGAATTTTACATTACTAGAAGCATACAGTGTGTGCACTTCTGTGTCTGGCTTCTTTCGTTCAACATTATATTTGTGAGATCATCCACCTCTGTTTTAATAGCCTTCACATCTGGTTAAAAAAAATAGGAGGAAGAACCTTACTTCCTTGACTACCCCGTTAAAAGTGCATCACTCAAAGAGCAGTAAATGAATGAATGAATAGTCTGTCTGACCTTGGGCAAATCACTTAACCTCTCAATTTCTCATCTGTAAAGAAAGGATAATAATACCCTGTCTGCCTTCCTTTTAAGGTTGCCAAAGACAAATGCAATAAATTAGAGGAAAGTACTTTAAACTGCATAATGAAGAATATATGAGTATGTTATTATTATTATCACTCAGTTGTTCCCTCTAGAGTAAATTACAGGTGAGCGTGGATTTATATAACAGATGCATTCCTGTAAAGTTCTGTATGAATCAGATTTTCATAAATCAACATATCTTATATGTGCTGAGGAATTTTGCTATATAAAACAATCCTATTCAAAATTTTTTTGTAAAGTAATATATAATCTCTTAATTCTTCTTCCCAGCAAACTGAATTTTTATATCTTATATTTGCTTAACTTGAAATATTTATGATTTTAAAATCTATCATTTTTTAAAACCACTATTTATGTTTGTTAAGTTAAATAGCACCTGTGTATATTAAACAATCTCAAAAAAGAGGAGAAGTACTAAAAATATAATAGCAGTTTTCATGAGGAGAAAAATTTCCTTAGAAAGTTTCTCTCTTCTTTTAAATAGTGGTGTGTGTGTTTTGACTCAAAGTCTGGTAAGCAAAAAGGTACATTGCAACCACAGTTCTGGCTTCAAAATCACTTAGGAGTGTATGACTTTAGTCTGTGATCCTTTTTACGGACCTATAACATGTGGACAAATTCCCATTTTACCTATCTCAGTGGGTTATGGCGAGAAGCAAGTAAAATAATAATAATAATATGAAAAGGATTTATGGCTACAAAGATGCCATAAATGAGAAGTATTGCAGTTAAAAGTCCAGTGATACAACTTGACACACAGGAAGACCACTCTATGAAATGTAAGGGCTAAGGACAATGTGGTTATAGTCATCAGTGAAATCACAGTGTGTCAGATACTTCGATGTTAATGCAACTTACTCCTTTTGTCTTGTTTGTTGTCATTGTTTTTGGCCTTCTCCCATGTATCACATCATCTTACATTACCAACTTTTCACAACACTGCCCAGCTTATCCTTTAGCTAAAGTAAGGAAAGACAACAAATACAACTGTTCTCAGCTTTTCACACAACCCACTACATTTCTTGGTGTGAGTTGTGCAGGGCGTGTTTGCTTAAATGAGAGTTTTGAGAAGCACAGGAGAATTGTTAAAATGTTTAAATGTCCCTGATGATGCAATGAAAAAGCTAGGAACAATCTAAAATTAGCTCTTACAAAACTGTTTATGAGCGTGTCAGGTGGGGAATTTGTTTTCCTGATCCAAGATATATATTTTATATTACAAAAATAATCATCTGAAGATTAACAGCTTCTCTGGTAGAATGAAGAAGACCTGCTGCTCGGGCGGCTCCACATTTATTTAATCCTGCTGTGCATCTATTCTGTAAACATGACCTTTGGGTTCTCCGAGAAGTTCAGGATGAGATTTTAAAAGACAGAATCTTGAGCTAAAATAAGTTGGACTGCATCTGAATAAAGAGAAAACTGCTCTAGCTCATAAGACTATACCCGAGCATCAAAGAAAGGACTGACCACAATTACAAGTGCTCAAGTTCTGAACCCTCACGGGAGTGGCCTTTATTTTTCAGTTCTTCAGAAGTTTCAATGGTTGTTAAAATAGTACCTTTTAAGGTATCTTCCTTTTGGTATTCTCACTGTTGCTTTTGACAAATGTAGTAGAAGTTCTCAAAAGCATAAAAGGTGGATGGTACACACACACACACACACACACACACACACACACACACACACACACCAACTGGTCCCAGTTTCCTGGGAATTGTTGTTTTTTTTATCCAAAGTGTCTATAGCCAAGGTTTTATAGACCAAATTATTTTCCCTACTCTGAAACTCTTTCTTCATTTCTCTCCCTCACCCCAAATATATGCAAACTCCATAGCATATCCATTCATCTCTTTTTGAATTATACTAGTAAGAGTACTTAAAATGTCATTCGTTGGGCCCTGATGTCTCAGCATTCAAAATCCAGAAAATTTTTGCTGTTATTGTCCCTTAAAGTGAAATTTGGACTGTTTCAGGTATTTTCATTTATTTCAATTTTGCCTGTAAACACATTTAATACATTTGGATCAAGTGAATACATACAATGCTTTTGAATTAGTTAATAACATAAGCATAAATAATTGCTTCTGCTTCATTTGAAA